GGAAGCACCTGTTCTGAACCACATGAAGCTTCTGGACCCCCGGCCTCCTCAGGATGGGGAGCCCAGCCGTCTTCCCCTTCCCAGTTGGGAGAGGGGCCAACGGCCAGGCACACCGGGACCAGAGGCTCTCACTGCCCAACGATGGACAATTCAGGTGGGGTGGGGCTGAGCATGCAGCCTTGGGTTATGACACTGCTGCTGGGGGCTCACTGGATATCTGGTGACCTGAGGGTCCCCCAAGCCTGGCCCCTTGGGGTGTCAGCAGCCAGAGTTTGGTGACCGTCATGAGACTCAAGGACAGACAGAAGTAAATACAACCTGGCCTGGTGCTGAACCTGGGCTCCTGGTATCCCTGTGGCCAGCGCCTTGCAGGGGCCCATTCCCATGGCCCAAGAGAGAGAGTATGCTGTCCCTGGTTCTCCAGTGCCCAGAGAAGTGGCTGATTGAGAGCCAGTGGTCTAGTGCCCGCTCTGTCCTGCAGAGCCCACACATGTCCCTCGTTCAGGCTTGACGCCCCTTTGGCTGGTATTGCCCAAACAACAAGCAAGGTAATAGAGCCCTTGCCTGGTGCATTTTGCCAGGAAGCTGCACTCGAGGTGATGATAGGGTGATGGGTGAGGAATGTTCTAATCAGGGCAGGGTTCCCAGGGAGCCAGTAATATTTCAGTACCAGGAGCCCCTTATTGCACATTTGTGGGGAGGTGGCAGTCAAGGAGGCTTCCTGGAGGAGGTGGCATTCCCATCTGGATCTGAGGGATGAGTAGAAATTAAGCTGGACCAAAGGAGGGTAGGGGGTGTGTGTGTTTTTTAGGCAGAGGCTGGGTGGTGAGAGAGGGTCGTGAATGGAAGCCATTGTGACTGGAGCATGGTGTGGTGGAGGCTTGGGGAGGGAGAGCAGCCCAGACATGGGCCACCGAGGCCAGGAAATGCAAGATAGGTAGGCCATTGGGAACAGTGGGAGCCAATCGGACTGTCCTGAGGGCTTCTGAGCTTTTCCAGATCTTGTTTTCTTGAATCCTTTCTCAGCGAGGAATATCCTTGAGGCACAGAGGCAGGGTGGCCTGCCCACCACCCCATAGCCTGGAGTAGTTCATACCAGGCCCCTGGTGCCTCCGTGGCATCAGGTCCATCTAGTGCCCTGGAAACCTGGACAGTCATGGGGCACCCCATGTCCTGTGTCCCAGCTGCAGGGCAGGTGGCCTGTCCCACTGGGCTGGTTGGTGGCAGGAGGGGCTCTGCCAGCTCTGCCGTAGGTGCCTTAGGGAGCACCCAGCACAATCTGTGAGGAGCCTGCAGGTGGGCATGGAGGTGGTCCTACCTTCATGCTTTCCCCCCAGCAGCCATAGGAAGCTTTTAGACTAGCAGGCTGGTTACATTCCTCCTCTGCTCAAAACCGTCTCATGATCTGGTTTTTCTTCTCTGTCCCCTCTATGCCCTTACCACCTCCCTCTTGCCCGCCCACTTTGCTCACTCTGTTCCAGTCTCCTCCAGCATTCCAGGCCTGATCCTGCCCCAGGACCTTTGCATGTGCTGTCCTCCTGTCTGTCACACTCTTCTCTATACACCCACATAGTCGTTCTTCCCCTGTCACCTAATGTGAAGCTCATCTGCCTCTTCTTGCCCTCCCTCACCGCTCTCTCCTCCCAGCCTGACATTATTCAATGCCTGGGACTGGCTTATTCCCCCACTGCATCTGCAGGATGGAGTAGGGTGGGGGCAGAATGAGCAAAGGCTTGGAGCTGAGGAGCAGCCTGGGGGCTGCAGTGAGAATGCCTTTGAACTCACGTTCTCTTTCAGTGCTTCTTCCTCCCGCGGCCCCACCAGCAGGAAGTCGGGAGCCCAGGTCCCTTGCCCCGTGAGTGGAGGAGCGTGGTTTTGAACCCAGAGCCCGCAGCTGGAGTTTGTGGTGCCCGTCTGCTCCCTGACGTTTTCGAGGCCTCTGTCCCCAGCCCAGGACACCCCCCACATCCGACCAGCACCACCTGCTGGGGCTGGGCTTCAGCCTGGACACCGGGCCTGGGGCCCCAGGGGGCTGCCAGCTAAAGGACTCCAGGCCAGTGGGAGAGACACCAGTCCCATCCAGTAGAATTCTTAAAAGGTCTTTTTCTTCCTGTTTAAATTTTTGTAAATATGTGTTCATCATAGAAATCACAGGTTAACACCAAGGAAGCCCGGCGTCCAGGGCAGGGGCGGTCCCTGTGGGCAGTCTCAGCTGGTTCTTGCCACTGCCTTCTCTGTGTGTGTGCGACCTACGAAGTGTGGTGTGTCCTGACTATTGGTGTGTCACCTCCTACCCCCTAGTATATCGTGCGCACCTTCTGAGGTCACTAAATATTCTTTGCTAGTGGCAGTTTGCGAGGCTGTGTGGTAATGCGTATGCCAGGCTCTGTGCTGGGGTCTCAGATCGAGCAGGCGGCTAGTTCCCCGTCTCCCTGGTCC